TGCCATGCCGGCCCATGGCGCACCTGGCCACCCGCGGGGGGTGGTGTCTGTGCAGGCTTTGTGCAGCTAGCCACGCCGTCCGGGCTGCAGCTGCCGCCTGCAAGCTACGCCGCACTGCAAGTCACTCCAAACTGGGAGGCCGCCGCCGCCGCCGCCAGCGGCGATGCCGCCGCCGCAGCGCCGGGCCGCGGACTGCTCACGGGCGCTACGGCCTCCGCCGCCGTCGTGGGCGGCGCCGACGCCGGAGATGTCGTACCGACCGGTGGTATTGTGACCGCGACCGAGTCGTACAGTCGCGTCGGCGGCAGCAGCCGCAGCCGGAGTATGTCCGTCGTACTCGGCGGTTCATCCGGATTCTCCCAGCCCTCGGTACTGAGCTCTCAGTCTTCGTCGTCCGCCCTCCCTGTCGTGGTACGGCGGTGTGTTGGGGCGGTGGTGTGTTTTCTAGGTTGGTTTTTCTTTCTAGGGTTGGTGAACCCACGCCTTATGGGTGGCGCTGGGATATGGCGTTTGGGACGTGGGGGTCGTACGAATTGATATTTTGAGTGTTATGTTGTGCATTGACGTGCGTGTGTGAAATGGCGGTGGGGGGAGGTCGATGATTTTCGTCTGTGCAAAATATAACATCATATTATTTTTGTCGCTGGTTTGGAGAGCTCTCACCAATATAGCCCTGTGAGAATACCCCCTTCCCCCCTCCGCCGTGGTTCGTCTTTCCCCCCATCTGCCACATAACAGATTAACGGAACCACTGGGACTTTCCACGCCGAGATTGTCGTACCCAAAGATGCCCGACTGCAGCCGTACATTTTACAGCTTGCCGTACCATCTCCCGGGACGAGCAGTGCGGCTATCACCCTCCCGCAGCCGCTCGCGGGTGCAGCCGAGCTGTACTCCTGGCCTGCCGTACCCGGCGCGTCGCTGACCATCACCGTCGCAGACCCCCGCCCGCCGACGGCCGATCTCAAGGTACGACGGTACGGCAGTGTGGTAGTACGGCACAGCGGGATGAAGCTACGGGATAATCTGAATACTGCCCCATGTATAGTTAGAAATACATGGAGAGATAAATAAATAGATAGATGATAGATAGAGCGAGAGGGAGAAAGACAGAGAGAGAGAGAGAGAGAGAGAGAGACCCAGCTATAAATGCTTATATTGTTACGCGTTCCGTCCGCTGCCCCTTGACGGGCTCCATCACCC